ATTCATTACGAATCGAGCCATCTGGTCCAAAATCTGAATGAACCCACATTTCATTTTTTTTCCCTGCAAGCACAAACCTGAAGTTACGAGACTGATCCTTAACGTCCGGCAGAATGCCATCATAGATTTCCAGGAATGCCGCATATCTGACAACCAGTGCTGGAGTTCAAGTTCTTTTTTGACTGAAATTAAAATCTGAAGTGTTGAATAATGCTGATCTCTGCAAATGCCGCCATGACATCACGTCCATTCCTGCTAAATGAGTGTCGAGATGCAATCCTAAACATTAAACGAATTTTATGATGTCAATAGTATTTTGATCCTCCTTGTATGCAAGCCATTCACCAACCTCTGTTAGGAATCCGGGTTTTACTTAAAAGGTTCGTTGGCTTCGTTGTCTAGGGGTTTAATACATATATAAACTTCACAAACCATTATTCTCAATTAAATATCTTTATTACATAACTAAGGTACATCTTCAACTGCCATTGCTCACAAGACGACAACACACTACTCACTACACAATAATCCATAATGCGTCATATCCCCTTTCATACAATGCGTCACAAGATACTAAGAATAATAGATAACACAACCCACATAATCTCTAAACAACACGCAATCACACTAAACATTCAAGCCCTTAACATTCCTCCCCCGCTTCGATTGAAATTAATTTGAAAAATTAATGTCACCCACAATTACATATCCCAAAATATATCAATAGACATCAAACAATTAACAAGAGTAAGTACCAAATGTAAACCGATCAATTGCAATATTACATTTTAAATTAAGCGACATTTATTACAAACAAACGTATAACACATTGTCACCCCAAAATGCTGAACTAACCTGGCATCTTTTAAAACTACATCCTAATTTATATGAAAACGTCAATGCTAAACCTTAACTCTTATCAAATTATGAACAATTATTACATTGACAACAAAGTTATTATCCCGCACAAAGCAATTGACCATAAAATAAACTCTGCCTGTTAAAGGGGAAAAAAATCAACATCTATTGGTATGTGGACATCCCTAAATTGTCCGGTCCAAAATTCATATTTAAAGGGGGCGGGATATTACGCCTGTCAGTCGCCTGACAAAAAAACGTGTCTATTTTCCCATCAGCTCAACTCTTCCCTCTCAATTTTCACTTGCTTAATTTTTTTGTATGGCTTTTGATGCATTATCGACTAACAAATGAAATATTTTCACATTCTTAAATATAATAATTTCATAATCATTAAAATTGTAACAATGAACACAATCAGTTATAATGACAAAAACATCATGAACCTCACCTCCCAACACATGGAAAACACACACCTTCGCAAAAAATCGAAACCCAACAAAGTCTGAGCTATAATGGCTCTCAAATTTTGAACAGTCCTGGGTCGCATGATCAAATACATCACACTCATGAACATTCAAACAAATTTCTCGCCTCCCCCTATCTCAGGGGAAAAAACTCACGCCCTTCAAGTAATGTTCATAATTATGATTAAAAACAATCTCAATATCCCCACGGTTCTCAAACCTCGGGTAACCAGTGTCTTCCACACCAAAAAATTCACTGACTTGACAGTCAAGTTGACTACTACCCTCGTATCTCCATGTAAGGTGATCTCCAATGACCTCTTCTTTATTGAACTTACGCCCCCTTGACAAGCTCACCACCTCTACGTCGTGATCTCCGTAGCTTGCCCAATTGAAATTCTTAGTATTATAAGCATCTCCCTCTTGCACAAAATCGACATACTCTTGCTGTAAAAAATCAAAAGATCTCTCTTGCACACTAACAACATTTCCCTGTTGTTCAAATTTGAAACCCTCACAGTGTGCAATTACCAAAGCTACAAAACATATTATCTGATACACCTTTTACATCATCAACAGCCCCATCTAGTATTTCCTCAGCATCCACATGCTGTACGATACAATCTACGGCCTGCACACCATCACAATGTAAATCTATTTCCTGTGCATTATCGAATGTCATATCTACAGTCTCCACGGCAAATGAAAAATCCTTAAGACTACTCTGTGCTATTCCTACGCATACAGCGCAGCGTAAAACCCGATTAATCAGGGCATCAGGATACAAGCCCAGCGGGATACAGGACCAGCAGCAGACATATTATACAAGAGTATACTGCAGGCACTGCAGTAGAGCGTAAACTGCCCAGTCGGCATGCAGTACAGTAGTAAATACTCACAGCAGTCACATGGCCATCGTCGGAATACAACCACACGGCGCAGTCCTCTCTAACGAGCCCGATCCCGGAAGAGCCTCCCAAATGTTACGAATCGTGGTCTTACTTAAAATTTAAGAAGTTAAAAGGTTCGTTGGCTTCGTTGTCTAGGGGTTTAATACATATATAAACTTCACAAACCATTATTCTCAATTAAATATCTTTATTACATAACTAAGGTACATCTTCAACTGCCACTGCTCACAAGACCATAACACACTACTCACTACACAATAATACATAATACGTCATATCCCCTTTCACACAATACGTCACAAGATACTAAGAATAATAGATAACACAACACACATAATCTCTAAACAACACGTATTCACACTATACATTCAAGTCCATAACAGTCACGAGCTCCCTTATGCTCAGTGACACTTAGTCTAATTTCTAAAAATAACTCTGACCACACCATGCTTTGATGCGCCCAAAGGAAACATATTAACTTTACAATAAACAAAGAAGTCTTCAGTTTAACTTAAAAGTGACTAAAGCTAATTTAGCTAAATATACTAAGTAAAATAATATGCGGTACACAATGAATACACTGTAACATATGATGAAATATAATTGAGCATTGTCCAAGAAGATATGCTATGACAATGACTGATGGCTGTCATATAACTTTAAATTGCTCAGAGAACATATGCAGCGTACAAGTGAGACGAAATACGGGCAATTAGACTTATATAAGATTCCATCTACACGCAACCCTCCTTATAGTGGACATGTATGACTTTCGCCTTTCTACCCTGCATGGGTCTGTCTATGGTCAAGGACTATCTCGGCTCTGGCGCCTCGTCGTTGCTCTGTATTGGAATCTATACGCACACGGCCATGTGGCTGTGATGATTTATCTTACTAATGTCAATAACACTAAAAGTGTGAATGCTCCTGAAACATATGAAGACTTCACCTACACCATTGTGATATATATCTTAACCCTACCTAACTGTACTCACAGTGTCCAGAATACTAAATGTCTACATACCATATCTGACACACGAACCACCACAAAGCGTGTTCATTCACACACCTTACATCCACGTACCTCTCTATGTGGACACTGTGGCTAAAGTGGTACAAGATTGAGCACGTGATTGAGTGCCACATGTGACAAAGATGAAATTACAACAAACAACAAACAATGCTTTGTAAACATTACCGGGCAGAAAATTTGCGGTTAAGCTCAATGTATGAGTCATGGAAATATCAGTGCTCATCTACAGTTGATTTGAAACTTTGCATTGGGAAGTTCGCTAATTCTAACATCTCTCACTACAGAATCGTTCGAATCAGCACATTTCAACGCGTCAGTATTAACGCACCAGCTGTCAGGGACTGAGGCCTGATTTTAATTGTCGTCCTATGGTTGTCTATTTAATGTAACACATTCATAGATGAATAGATGTGTTCATGTTGACAGCCAAGAAGGCGTTCTAAATCAAAATAATTGCCTGGCGTCTCTCGTTTTTAGCACTCTTACGTTGTGCTGTGCTGCTTCTTGTCTGCTGTCTCGATTACCGATACGGTACCTTCTGTGTGTATTTTGTCCTTGCTGTGTCGTTTAAGATAATCCAGCTCCCAAGCCCCCCCACCTCTTGCCTTAGCTTTGAAGCACATTTCACAAACAACATAATCTTCAATTCCATGACTTTAAAAAAACATAACTCCCCTTGACATTCCGATCTGAGGACCAATCTGGCAGTGCTGCATGAACAAATTCATTGAGCCATTCGTTTTCCTTGTCTAGCGAAGACGCTCCGCTTAAATAACGTTTAGAGTCTAGCTTTTCCCGGTACGTATCGGTAAGCATGTAAATCAAGAGTTCGGTCAGTTAGTAAAATGTAGGAGACAAAATATTGGCCTGAACTCAAATTAAATTAAATAATCCCTTTAAAAGAAGTTTTTCGTCAAAATCCTTTTACGCAATTTGTATTATTTTATTTTATATTAATATTTTAATGTCCCAACCGCCTTTACACCACAGATTTATTACATGAACTATTTCGGAAAAATAAAGGAAAATACTACGCACCAAACGCACTTGCGATGTTTAAAATTAAAAAAAAAGTCTTTTAGCGCAGTCCTCGGTAATTATTAAGTGACGTTACATTTCCTTCATCTTCCCTTTGAAAAAAAAAAATGTTTTGTGTGCTTGGGGGGGGGGGGGGGGGGGGG